TTGTGTGATGAAGTAAATAATACTGAAACCCATGTGAGTCCTACCGTACATTTAAATGATTTAGTTTAAACAAGAACAAAACCAAAGGGTGACTGAAAGACTCGCTTCTCTATTTCAGTTCGAATCCGGGGAACAGTCAAAGATAAGATACACATGTATTTAGGACATACTGGCTTTGTAATTGTAACTTTTGGCATATGTGACTTATTTGGAGTGACGTTATGTGACATCAGAGACTTTTTAGGAGTGACATAATGTGACATTACAGGAGATTTTAATCTGGACTTTAGAGTACTGCAAGTTAGAGGCGAAAAAACATATATAAGCAAAACAAAATGATTACCGTTGGCTTCTAGTGACACAATTAAAACTGAGCATTTCTGGGAATGTGTTTTATATCAGAATTCCTTTAATGGAAAAACTTTTTGTAACCTTTTGTATCTTTTCTTTAATTTTTGTAATAAGTCATATTTTTAAGTACTGTGTAGTATACATAGTTTCAAGTGCAAATATTTTCCGGATCTGGACTTAGCAATTTATGCCTGTTATGTAAAGGGCTCACAAAAGCTGTGTTAGATCACACTCTCCATGCCAGATAAATAAGATCCAGCCCCGGACACCAGATCTCGCCAGTTTCTCCAGGTATCTGGACAACAAGTCAGCAGAGTTGCCAATACCCAAACCTGTTAACCAGTATTCAACTGAATTAACAGTCTACTATCAATATAGGAGTTGACTGTGGAAGGAAGTCAGAGAAGAGCAGAGGCAGGAGACGAAGTGATGATAATAAATGAGCAGGGTTTATTGAATAATCTTAGCTGCATGTGTTCTGGTGCACTCTCATACTCATTAGAGAATTAGAGACATTAGAGAGGAGGACTTTTTCTTTTTCTTTTTCTTTTTTTTTCCTTGTAAATAACTTAAACAGTTAATTCTCAATTAATCTCATATGGACTATTATGGACATCTGCTGCTGTTTGAAGTCAGTTGTAATTTTGGGTTTCTCTTCTGTGTTTCTGCTTATTAACAGCAGGTTCTGGTCATCGGTGCTCAATCATCACTTAATCCTGGCATTGCCTCATTAACTATAACTCTGCTGTTGAGTAACTTTTACTCAATTTAGAGAAGAAACAAACACTATCTAAACTGAGTAAATTTGATTCGGAGGATTCTGCTGTGTACCATCTCATTTTTATTTCTTTCTGTTTGGTCGTCCGTCTTCTTTTGTCCTCTTTCTCAAGGAATGCCTGTCCTGGCACCCCACAGTCAGAGATGCCCTGACACATGAAGGCCTGACCTTATTGAGCCCAGCAGGCGTCAGCACAGCTGTGGGCCACCATGAGGACACTGGGAACCCTTTTCTCCAATCCTTCCTTCCCATTCTGTCCTTTCCCACACTCTGTGCCTTTTTCCCTCTGTAGCTTTAATGCTTGGCTTTGTGGTGTCACCCCATAGGGTTACCTGAGGGACTTTCAATTTCACAGTGTGTCACGATACTTTTCTGAGATGTTATTTTAGGCTCTGGGTAACACAGTAAATGTGCATTGGTCGTTCTGGGCTTGTATGAGATAAACTGGAAGTTCATTAGATTAAAATCAATTATTGGCAGAGGTAGCATTCATGCATAGTCATATGTTTTTAATTATACTGATATTTGATATCTCTCTCATTAAGTATTTTTATATTAAACTTGATTTTCAGAAAAAAAAAAACTGACATCTAAAAACATTTACCATTTCGCTGTTTTGTATAGTCAATATATAAACTTATTCGTTATTGTCAATATTAATATTTTTCTCATACACATTAAAAAATTACTTTCTTGTTCAAACTTTTATTTTGAAATGAGTTGAAACGGCACAATTCTTTTTTGGGGGGAGATAACTTAATGTTGTTTTATGTTCAATCAACTTAAATTTGTAACAACGGTTAAGCTAACTTAATCAATTTGTGTTGGGACAACATGACGGTGTTGTGTGGAACCCAGCATTTTTTACAGTGCAGTTTAAATCAGGCTTTGTACACACACACACATATATATATATATATATATATATATATATATATATATATATATATATATATATATATATATATATATATATATATATATATATATATTGACAGTGTCTTTCAAAGTTATTATTTTGAATAGAATTTTAAAATATATTATTATTAATTTGTTATTATTATATGTGATTTATTTAACAGAAACCATAAATTGTAAATATTTCCTGATGACTTGTCTACTCAATGCATTTTGAATTTCACATCTTTCAGACTGATGTAACATTTTTGAATCATCAAAATGTTATAATTGATATTTGCAATTAGATGTTATGTATTTAATAAAATAATAACAACAAGCTCTTTGTTTTATAATTCAATTTCTTAGTTTCAGACTTATTAATACACGTGGCTATTCCCTGTTTTTTGAGAGTTGCCAATAATGCTTCACTGGTACAATGGCAATAAAGCATTTTAGTCTTATACTGTTTAATCATTTGTCATCTGTAATTCTTTACACTCTTCAGAAATCAAGATTACTACAGATTTTGTAACCAAGTTTAGAACAGTTTTGCTGCAATGCCACTGAAACATTTTTGCCTCTGAAGCAATCTGTTATTGAACACTTCTTAAAATAGCCATTTTTGTTTTACATTTTCCCCAACTTTAATGGAATTTAAAGTTTCTTCGGATGTTAAAGGATCTTAATGGAACTAGTGATGCCAATAATGACCTTTTACAGTCTTTTGAAGAGTGTATTGATTGCTTTGTTTATTTCAGACGTGATATTCAAATGAGACTGTAACTAATTTATTTCCGTCTTCACTTTATGCATTCTCCTAAATGTGTGCACTTCTCTTTATAGCCTCTGTTTCTTTCTTTTCTCTCTCTCTCTCTCCATGATAGCCCCATGCCTGACCTTTGACCTTGGGTCAGAGCAGTTTTCAGTGTTTGTGGGTCTGGCTGATTTACAGTGTGTCATGACTGACAGCTGGAGAAAACCAATAAACTCCGTTCCTGCATTCCTGTAGAAAACCATTAAAGAGCCCTCATATCACATTCTCTGCTCAAACAGGGCAATTATATTGTGTTTTGCCTCTCATGAAGACATGTGTTGAGCTCAGGGCTCTGGGAGATTGTGAGGTACATATTTTGTGTGGAATTAGTTCACCTTTTAGATTTAATCATCTCACATCTTTAGCTAAACAATGATTTAAATGGCTTTTGAAAGTACCTCAAATTCTCAAAGAATTCACATTTTGTGCAAATAAAATATACATTTCATGTGAATTTATTTGAAGAAAGTTTTTAGAGTTTCTGGATTTGCTTTAGTGATTTTATTAGTAATTTTAGTGATTAATTTAGTCATTTGTTTCTCCTCCTCTCAACTAGCTGACAAATTAGTTAAAAGTCAACAGAGTGTCTAAAGTGGACCTTCAAAATAAAATGTTCCCCAAAGCTACCAAATGTTAAGTGTGGTCCGCATTTAAGTTATTTTTCTTTTTACCTTGAGTAGAATTGTTCATATTTTTGACAATATGCCATGCAATGCCTAGCCAACCATCTCTAAAGGTCTGTTTTGGCTTCATTCAAATAACTGAAACATAATTTATCTCTAATTTGGAGTAGAGTTTGATTAGATAACCAGCTAGGCCAGCTATTAGAAGCTGCCTGTGTAGACCTTACTCACATGGTATCAAGGGTGCAATATAAACTGACATCTACAGTCTTTACCTTATCTAGTCTTTATCTCCAGTCACAGAAACACAGTTTTAAATCTAAGTGGAGCAAGTAAAACAGGATGGAATAAAGTGGTGCCGTGATCTGGATGGGTGTAACAAATACCAGCTTGCAGAAGCTGTGTGTAAACTGAATTTTAGTGATTAATTTAGTCATTTGTTGAAATTTGAATGTTGCTAAAAACAAACTTCTAAAGAAACAGTTTCAATGAAATAGAATTTAAAGAACTGTAAAGTATTTTTAGTTTTTTTATTTTATATTTTCTGCATCCACTTTAATTTGAGTTGGTTTTAGTAAATATGCTGTAATGATAATAATTATTTAAGAATTATGACAACCATCCCGGCAAGCATTTTTTTTGTTTGTTTTTAAAAGGTGTCTAATAGATGACTAATAGACGTACAAACATAGTCATCTTGGCTAAAACAAGGCTAAATCTGGACTCACAGTGAGAATCTACTAGACATCTAAGAATAGGCGTGTATTAGATGAATCCATTTTAATTTGGGTTTGTTTTGGTAAATATGTTATAATGATAATAATTATTTAAGAATTATGACACGCATTACAGCAAGCATATTTTGTTTTTAAAAGATGTCTAATAGATGTCTAATAGATGTCTAAACATAGTCATCTTGGCTAAAACAAGTCTAAATTTGGGCTGTCAGTGAAAATCTAATTGACATCTAAAAATAGGCCAAAACTAAACTAGTCATCAAATAAACAGAAATTAATGACTAAACATATAAAATCTGTCTGATCTGTATATTTGTTGACTAGTCTAGTTTTAGGCTATTCTTGAGTGTCTTTTAGATTTTCAATGAAAGCCTAAGTTTAGGCTTGTTTTAGCCAAACTGTCACAAAATTGTTTGCTGGGATCTTAATAGAAAAAGTTAAATATATTCATTTCTGTTTTGTAGTCAAAAAAAATATGTAAAAATATATACTACACACGTTATTTTGTGTAATTTGGATTATTCTGTAACTCCTAGCTATAGTTTGAATTAGTATAATAGTTTAATAGTTTTTTCCATGTCATGTTCTAAGTTTTTTTTTTAAGTTTCAGAATTTTATTCAAATGTATTTGATTTATTTTAATACCTCAAGTTAAACTAAACATACATTTATTTTCTTTAAGTTAATGTGTTATAGTATTATGTAACACAAAAACACGTCTTTGCTTTATCAAATAATTTCTTTTTCTTGTTTGCTGCTCTTTCCTTCTCTTTCTTCCCCCCACCCCAACCCCTACCCCCTGCTTTTACCATCTCTCTCACTCTCATCCATCTTCTTGTTCTGACTGTGAGCCAACCTGTTGTAGCTCTTCCACACCCCCTAAACTTTCCCCTTTAGAGGTATTTGCTTCATTCATTCACTCTCTCTTTCCCTCACACACCCTCTTTAGTCTCTCTTGGATTCTCACACTCCTAGTCCCAGGACAGTCCACAACAAAGGTGTGTAAAGCTATAACTGGTTCTTGGATTGGATTATTACCTGACGGATCTCCAGTGGCTCAAACAGGATTGCATTTAGAGGAGGATCATGATGCAGGATACAGTGGGAGAGGTGAGTAAAGGTCTCACGGTGAACTTTTGCAGTCCAACGCCTCACAATGCAGAAAACTCTTGCCAGAAAATCTTTGCCAAGTTTCTTTCACTCGTTTTCTTTTCCCTTGCATGCTTTGGAAGTGGGCCATTCTCTGAGAGTCTCTAAGCCAATTGTTCTTATTTAGTTTTGCCTCAGGATTCAGACTTTCTTGGACAACAACTGGCTGTTGCACTTTATTTTGTGGTTCACTTATAGCTGAAAAATTACTGCAAGTCAACAGAGTGTCTAAAGTGGACCTTCAAAGTAAAGTGTTCCCCAAAGCTACTAAATGTTAAGTGTGGTCCACATTTTAGTTATTTTTCCTTTTACCTTGAATAGAGTTGTTAATATTTTTGACAGTATACCAAGCAATGCCAAGCCACCTATCTCTGAAGGTCTGCTTTGGCTGGATTCATACAGCTGAAACATCATTTGACTCTAATTTAGTGTAAAGTTTGATTCGATAACCAACCAGACCAGCTATCAGAAGCTGTCTGAGTATACCTTACCCACATGGTATAAAGGGTGCAATATAAACTGACATCTATAGTATTTATCTTAAAAATTGTCTTTACCTCCAATACAAGAAACACTATATTGAATTTAATTGGATTAATGTGGTGCCGTGACCCGGATTGGTTTAACAAAGACCAGCTTGCAGTAGCTGTGTGTGTAAACTGACTAACACAAGAGGCTGTTGTCTTTTTTTTATTAGTGCATCTGCCTTACATGGTGGATGGTTTAAATTCTACTCCGAGCAGGGAGAACCGGAGAGGTTACCGTGGTGCTGTGACCCAGGTGAAATGAAGTAACAGAAGTCAGCTATTAGGAGTTTTGGCTTTAGGTTTTCTTGTTAGTGTGCCTAACTTCAAAGCTAGATATTTATATTCCCTTTGAAGGAGGGTAAGTAGAACTAGAGGGGCAGCATTTATGCCCATGACGAGTGAGTGAGTTTTATGTTAATGTGTGTAACATAGGCCAGCTATGTAGTAAGAGCTCTTCAAGAAAGCCTCCTCATCTTATATAACAACTGACAGCTGTTGTCTTTAGCCTTCTTGTTAGTAAATTGGCCTCCCATGCCACACACACTAACTTGAATCTCGAACTGGGGCAAGTAGAATTAGAAGAATTGAATTGGTGCCGTGACCCGGATGGATGTAACAAAGACCAGCTTGCAGAGCTGTGTGTGTAATCTGACTAACGCTAGAGGCTGTTGCCTTAAACTTTTTTATTAGTGCATCTGCCATACATGGTGGATGGTTTAAATTCTACTCAGAGCAGGGAGAACTGGAGGGGCTACGATGGTACCGTGACCCAGGTGAAATGAAGTAACAGAAGCCAGCTATTAAGAGTTTTGGCTTTAGGTGTTCTTGTTGGTGTGCTTAAATTTAAAGCTAGATATTTATGTTCCCTTTTGAGATGGGTAAGTAGAACCCATAACTGAGGGAAGTGAGTTTAATGTTAATGGGTGTAACAGAAGCCAGCTATAGTAGGAGCTTTTCAAGAAAGCCTCCTTCTTATCTAAACCAACAACTGACAGATGTTGCCTTTAGCTTTTTTTGTTAGTAAATTTGCCCCCGATCCCGCAAACTCTAATGTAAATCTTGAACTGAGGCAAGTGGAATTGATTTGGTGCCGTGACCCGGATGGGTGTAACAAAGACCAGCTGTGTGTGTAAACTGACTAATGCTGTGATTGTTTTTAGCTTTTTAATTAGTGCACCTGCCTCACATGTTAGAAACATGTTAGGTTTAAATTCCACTCAGAACAGGGACAACCGGAGGAGTTACAATGGTGACCTGGGAGGAATGAAGTTTAGGGGATGGGTGTAACAGAGGACAGCTAGTAGGAGTTTGTACTGTATATGTACTGTGAACTTGAAGCAATGAAGTATTTAATCAACACATTACCTTTAACACTAAGTTCAAAACTCTTTTTAAACGAGTAGAATTAACTTTCAGCCAATTTTGAGTTAAACACACTCATTTTATTTGATAAACTTGACTGTTGGGTTTTACAGTGTACTGTAAATAAAACAGAATATTTTATTTTAATACAGAATCAAGTGAAAATAAAAAGGTTGTAAAAAATAGCGTTTTTAGTTTATTTAACAAATAAACTAAAAGGTTTAGGGTAGTGGGTGTACCATGGGTGCAGGATAGCTAGTAAAAGCTATTTATGTAAACCTCACTCTCCGAGCTTCAAGACTCACCAGCACCAGAGGCTGTTATCCTTAGCTTCCTTGCTGCTAATGCACCTGCCCTGTATGTCAGAAACTCTGCTTTATTTTCCCAGGGTAAGTAGAACTAAAGGGGCAGTTTTTGGTACCCATGACTGATGGGAGTGAGATTTAGGTAATAGGTGTAACAGAGGCCACTTATAGTTTAAGAAAGCCTCCTCTTTCTGGCCTCCAGAGGTGAACCGGTGACTGACATTAGAGGCTGTGATTTTTACCATCTTTGTTAGTGCACCCATGTTGAAAACATTGTTTTGAATCCTACTTGGAGCAGGGTTAATAAAACCAGAGGGGTTACAGATCAGCAGTAATATGGGAAAAGTTTTCCCCTCCCTTAAAAAAAGTCAGCTAAATATTGCCTGACATTTTTGGATTTAGAATTTGGCAATGTTTTCCTCTACTCACACTGACCCAATCAGAACAGACCTGCGGTCCATTAAAAGTTCACAACCCTTTAGTTAAGGACCACTGGTCTAAGCTGCTGTAATCGCTCTTTTAACGTGAATTTTCTCAAACATCCCAACTGATCAAAACCAGCATGATTTGACCCAAGTTCATTCATTTGTTTAATGTGTTCTTTGATTAGGTAATTGTGGCACAAAATCAGAGCCTCGATCTACCGTATGCTGTTCCACTCCATTTACCGCCGCATCTCACGGCTTCAATAGCCCCGCTAATGCAGCTAAAAAGCCTTGAACAAAATTCTAGAGTGTGTCGGTGATGTCTCCAGTCTGATAGCTTTTCCTTCCACGCGCAGGCTTTCACACACCCCTCCGAGTTGAGCGGCAATCTGGATGTAGCCGTAATGTCAGATGAACTGCATAAAGTCACTTCATTACTGCACACTGGCAGTCTGCCTATTCCTGCAGCTGATAAGCCTGCAAACAGCGGATGCTATTGTGAATGAGAGAAGTTTGAGAGTATGCATTTGGACATTTGTGCACTAGCGGATATTTTGTGATGATGTCCTCCCAGTATCTTAAAAAAACATTCATCACTGAAGTCCATTTAAGGATGTTTGGCTTTGTTTTGTGCGCATTCACCACACAACAATTGAGCGACTTGTTTTGATTAGCGTCGTTCTCTGCATTTTCAGGTTGCTTTCAAGAAAACCCCTAATTTAGAGCTACAGAGATAATCTCCTGTGAAGTAGCCTCATGCTAACAAGCAGCAGGGCTTGTATAAAGAGCAAGAAGGGGGCTTGGGTCGACTCCTGTACCTTTATAATCCTTCAAAGCGCACAATCCAACTGCACGCTCACCTCTACAGTGGGCCTGCGCTCATGAGATTACATTCTCCACAGTATGACTTTGCTGTATGCAAGTGGCTGTACATCAGAAAAATATCCCCTGGAGTCACAGCAGTACATTCCTGTCTGTAGGATCGACGCAAATAATCGCTTGTTCAATCGAATTCATTCATAAATCGCACAATCAGACTGCAGCCTGCAAAGTGCAGCCATTCAAAAAGTCTTATCTGCTCCGTCCAGAGTGCCAGAGCCCATGTAAAATCAAGCAAACTGACTGAAGTGCAGAAGTGCTCGAGGTTACATGCTCCAACAGGACTGGTATGCGCAGAGTTCATGGTCCTGAAGTTTCTCGATGAAAACTCTGGCCCCGTTCCACTGCACGTAATAGAAAAACGTGCTAATTTTGCATGCTAGGGGTGTCTTCTGACCTCCTTGGAAGTGTCTTTGATGATAATAAAAAGTTTTAGCGCTATGTAAAAATGCTTTACAGACAGCCGGAGAAGTTTGTTAAAGTCGCCGAAGCCTTGCAGCTGCATTAATTTTGTGGACTGTCAGACTTGTTCTCCGCATATTAGAGGTGGCAGTTGTGCAGTAAAGCATTGCATTAGCTTGGCTGTGGCTTCTGTACTGCTTGACAGTGCTGTCTGTTGGCTGAACAAAGACTGCCTAGTTGTAATATTCCCCACAGATGTAACCTGACAAAGCTGCAGCAGTTCTGTGCGAGATCACTGATTCTGTATATGCTGCGTGGTTAGTTAGCGCAGCATCTGGAATGACAGTCTTTATTTAGCGAGGAAACTTTTCACCCACTTGACGCCTCTGGATTTTGTGTAAAGAGCTTTTACAGTTTGTGATTAGTCGTGATTTTTAAAGCTTCGGAGATATTTGGAGATTCATTCAGCTCTGTGTTTTTGGTGCAGAATGCACAACTTCCCACGTGAAGTCTTGTGAAATGGCATGTTGTGACTGTGCCATAATCATGAGAAATAAAGTTGCAATTATGACAAAGTCACACTGTAAGATATAAAGTAAAATGATGGATGTCACATTTTGAGATAATAAGCAATGATTTAAAGTCTCAACTTGAAATATTATCCGATTATTGTCGAGAAGTCACATAGTGAAAAGTTAAACAATGATTTAAGACACAATGTCAAATATACTCACATTATAAAAAATACCCACAATAACAAGAAATAAAGTTCCAGTCATGAAATCCTCACATTGTAAGATTTCACATTCACAATAAATTTAATGTGAGACATTGGGCTATTTTTTAACGATCTAAGCGCAAAGTCTAAAGCGCATGGCGCAAAAGCATTACAGTCGTATCTGAATCCACTTTTGCTTTTTTAAGGATGAAAAAATGCGCATTAAAGCATGGTCTAGGAGGGTTGTTTTTATTCTCTCAATGAGTTACGGGTGTGTTTTGAGCAAAACGAGCAGTAAATCAATCAAAGTCTTGTCTCCCGTTCCCTTCAAGAGTCCGTTTCG